CTGCGCTATATAACATTGCACTATTGCATTGCAAACCTATTAACCTATATCTGTCAAAAGCTGGTATGGATGCAAGCAGTAGAAGCATCGCTAGCGCAATCTTATGTCGAATGCTCGAACCGTACAACTTCTTGTACACATGCGCATTGGGGGCTTGGGCGGCGATGACGACGGAGACGTTTCTTAGTAAAGATTTTATACATTGAGACTTTGGATTATAATATCTTCATTTATAGAATACGTAAAAGAAAAGTAAAAATATTTTTATAATATAAAACAAACTCAAGCTTTCGATTAAGCTTATTAAAACATTAATCGGTTCAGCCGTTATTGAGGTTCGATGAAGTAAGATACCCTTCAACTCTAGCCGATTCGCGTAAAGATATACGGGGTGCCTCACTGTTGCTGCGCATGACTTGGCGCGAGACACTACCGTGTCTCTTGATATCTTCTATTATCTTTCGGAAAAAAATAAAAACAAAGTGTAAAAGTAGGTCAGTGAGGAAATGGGTTATTGATCGAAGGAAAAATTATAAGTGATAATTCCTAGTTGGAATTCGCGTAAAGAAAAATTGGTTGGTAGCGACTTACTCTTTTTAAGTAGAAGACGGACGGGCAGCTTAACTCGGAGATTGTCGTTCGTGGTCAAGAGAGATGCCGTTGAACAGGACACTGGTCACAGTTCGCGATGTAAACGATTTTTAACAATTGCACTGAGAACGGACTAACTAATCGACTTATAGATTGACTTGTTGAATGACTTACTGCCGGACTGACTCGTTAACCGGGTGACTCTGATGAAAACTGAGATGATGGAGTCTTGCGGGCTCCCTTTCTATAGTTCGTCGATTGGTCGAAGGTGAACATTTTCCGATGGACTTTTGCACACGTGATTTTGAGGTGAATAGCAAAGGTCTATGATTTCTATCGATGATGATGCGGTTATTTTGTTAAATATTTCGTAAGGTGATTTCATCGTCTCTTCGCTGTTTATTTGTTCTTTCGCTGGAAAGTCTATATATGGAATATCTATTGATCGGCCTAATATCTTCTTGTTTTTCTCGCGATTACTCATAGATATATTTACTGATAAATGATGAAATGTTTAAAGTTTAAAACGTTATGTGGTGCAAGATGTTCTATTTACCGAAAGACTTATTTTTATTGCCAATCGACGATCCTTGCCGCAATTTCGCGGAAGGAAGGAATCGTGGAGTCGCCAGGATGTAACAGTATTATATTAAAAAGAATTATCTCTCTTTGACAAACGATCAGTGTACTACCAGTATCGATAATATCGAAAAGTGGATGTAACACGGACATGAACCAAAACCGACAGTATTGAAAAGTGCATGTAGCACGGACATAAACTGATCGGCTGTTTTATCATGGCTCTGAAAGTGGCCATGTAGTTCCAGGCAGCGTAAAATGGATATACATGACGCTAGTGTACGATAGAAAAAGCATCTTACGAAAAAGGGCAGCGTGGTGACTCTCAGTCTTCTCTCTGATATTACGTATGAGAAACATCTGCGCATGCATGACTTAAGGGCTATCGCACACAAATTGACATAGCTGCATATGCACCGTCATAAGACCGTCTGTATCAATGAGCATCGAACATAAAATCGCCATATTGATTTACATAGCATGCTCATTGGTCCAGACGGTCTTATGCTATACATATGCAGCTATGTCAATTTGTGTGCGATAGCCCTTAAGTCATGCATGCGCAGATGTTTCTCATACGTAATATCAGAGAGAAGACTGAGAGTCACCACGCTGCCCTTTTTCGTAAGATGCTTTTTCTATCGTACACTAGCGTCATGTATATCCATTTTACGCTGCCTGGAACTACATGGCCACTTTCAGAGCCATGATAAAACAGCCGATCAGTTTATGTCCGTGCTACATGCACTTTTCAATACTGTCGGTTTTGGTTCATGTCCGTGCTATATCCACTTTTCAATACTGTCGGTTTTGGTTCATGTCCGTGCTATATCCACTTTTCAATACTGTCGGTTTTGGTTCATGTCCGTGCTATATCCACTTTTCAATACTGTCGGTTTTGGTTCATGTCCGTGCTATATCCACTTTTCAATACTGTCGGTTTTGGTTCATGTCCGTGCTATATCCACTTTTCAATACTGTCGGTTTTGGTTCATGTCCGTGTTACATCCACTTTTCGATATTATCGATACTGGTAGTACACTGATCGTTTGTCAAAGAGAGATAATTCTTTTTAATATAATACTGTTACATCCTGGCGACTCCACGATTCCTTCCTTCCGCGAAATTGCGGCAAGGATCGTCGATTGGCAATAAAAATAAGTCTTTCGGTAAATAGAACATCTTGCACCACATAACGTTTTAAACTTTAAACATTTCATCATATATTCAGGGGAGTAGGAGGGGGAAAAATAGGGAGGAGAACTTGGAGTAATGAGGTCGCTAGAATGGTAGTAGGTGTGTGTAAAATCGTAATCGTGATTGTTAATTCTATTAATTATTCTAACAATTCTATTCGCTTTGATTAAATTGTGGATTTTAGCGGCGATATATTGGTTAGCTATTCTAATCGTTTTTGAGTCAGCTTGCGCCAACGCCCTCCGAGTCCTGCGATAAACTCGATGTATGTACTTGGCTCGCGAATGAAGTCGCTTGATCGAAATACGCAAGGTGATCTTTTTCACTATAGAAAATTATAAGTGATAATTCCTAGTTGGAATTCGCGTAAAGAAAAATTGGTTGGTAGCGACTTACTCTTTTTAAGTAGAAGACGGACGGGCAGCTTAACTCGGAGATTGTCGTTCGTGGTCGAGAGAGATGCCGTTGAACAAGACACTGGTCACAGTTCGCGATGTAAATGACTTTTAACAATTGCACTGAGAACGGACTAACTAATCGATTTATAGATTGACTTGTTGAATGACTTAGTGCCGGACTGACTCGTTAACCGGGTGACTCTGATGGAAACTGAGATGGTGGAGTCTCGCGGGCTCCCTTTTTATAGTTCGTCGATTGGTCGATGGTTCGATGAACATTTTCCGATGGACCTTTGCACACGTGATTTTGAGGTGAATAGCAAAGGTCTATGATTTCTATCGATGATGATTCGGTTATTTTGTTAAATATTTCGTAAGGTGATTTCATCGTCTCTTCGCTGTTTATTTGTTCTTTCGCTGGAAAGTTTTTCTATATATGGAATATCTATTGATCGGCCTAATTTCTTCTTGTTTTTCTTGCGGTTACTCATATATATATTTACTGATAAATGATGAAATGTTTAAAGTTTAAAACGTTATGTGGTGCAAGATGTTCTATTTACCGAAAGACTTATTTTTATTGCCAATCGGCGATCCTTGTCGCAATGTCGCGGAAGGAAAGAATCGTGGAGTCGGCAGGACGTAACAAATATTTACCAAAAGAAAGAGGTTTTATTATCATTACTTTTATTTCTGTTGTATGCTGCAATGCTTTTGCACTTTACAACAGCATATCTAAAAGGCATTTTTATATTTCTTCTATTATTATTCTTCAATAATTTTTATATCCGATTCAGGTTAAAATAACTGTCAACTATATTATGATTATGGAGACTATATCTATCAAATTGTTTGTGCGCATGTGCAAAATGAGATACTTTAAAGGTAACATTTCGTGAGCAGTGAAAAACAGCAGCAGTTTAGAAAATAACTAGAATCGGTGACGTACTTCTGGCGCAAGTTTTTGCTGTTTGAAGTTCATCCTGTTGAACAGCAAAGCAGTAAAAGCTGTGTTTTGGTTATACGAGGTGTGATCAAAAAGTAACGAGAATTTTCAAATTGCGTGCGCTGTATCTTGTCTATCGAGTTGATTCTTTTTTTGTGTGTTAGTAGCACTGTCAGTGACGTACGTGTCAATTTTCAGGCAGCTACGGCGCTTAGTTTGTGTTTGGCGAGCGAATGAGCTAAATTAGCTAATATTAGCTAATATATTAGCAAGCACAATCTAATCACCAAACAATGCTAATTAGTTACTAAACTGCTGCTGCTTTTCACTGCCCATGAAATGTTACCTTAATACATGCTTTTTGAGGCCATTTTATATAAGCGAAATTTGGGGAGTTAGCAGTCTAGTAATATATAGAAGTCTGTGGTAATAAACCAAGTATCGACTTCGATTGGTTATCGACATCGAAAGATCGATATCTAGGTTGTTATAGCTCACAGATAACCTGCGAAGGCATGTTCATTGTCTGTAAATCGCAAAATCTTTGCACAGTATAAAGCACTGCGTAATCAAAAATTTTTTCTTCGCGCTGCGAACAAATTATCTAACAATTAAACCTCGGGGACCGTCAGACGCCGATTTTTCTCAAATTTTTTAAAGTTGTTTCTCATGTCAAAATATGAAAAAATCTGTCATTGTTTTTAGCTTAAATTGACTTTTTTTGAAATTATTTTAATTTTAAGCAAATACATGACTTTACATATTTAAAGCAGTATTTCTTAAAAATGAACAAACATAACAAAATGATTAATAAAAAATACGTTAAAAATAATAAAATTTTGTTTTTAAATGTTTATTTATATTATACGAACATCCGATTTTTGCTCCTAAAGCCTTTTTATCAATTAAAATACATGTTTTTATAAATAGGATTCTTTGGATAAAAAAATATTAACTATATTAAAAATCTTTTACAAATATTTAACGAGATTCTCATTAAAAATGTTTTTTTTAGGCGCAGTATATTTGCGCATGTACATTGCATAATCATAATTTAAAATATTTTATTATGTTTATTAGATATTATAATATATTTATGTTGCCAAAATAAATGATATTGACATATTTAGTTGTATATAACAAATCTTATATCAAAATGTACAAATCTGGGATGTACAGTTTGATATGTAACAAATTTTACATCTCAAACTATTAAAAAATTGGAAAAATTATCAATTAAAATATATCAATGGGTTTATTATAGTTTATATACATATGTGTTTTTTTAGGTTTGCAGAAATGACTATATTATCATTGACTTACAAAACGAAGCCGAAGGTCTTGAAGCGAGTATACATTGGCATGGAATTTTTCAAAATGGGTTTCAATATTTTGACGGTGTACCATTTCTGACGCAATGTCCAATTCCGTCAACTAATACCTTCAGGTACGTAATAAATATAATTCAATGTTAATTTTAAATGTTTCTTTTTTATTTTATATAATTCTATGTAGGGTATCGCGCGATACCCCCTCGCATGTAAGTCTTGTTATCAGGAAAATCGTGTTAAGCTATTTTACCATCTAGGATGTGTAAGCAAGCATAAGATTTACAATAAAAACCAGGAATTAGTGTCGTGTACTGATCCATTTGATAAATTTATAATTGAAAGTGAAGCAGATATGAAGAAGCCATCGGCAGTGGCCGGGGGCAGCAGGTACAGATTAGGATCTACAGGATCTATAGGTTCGTTTACGATGCCAAGCAGTGGAAATAGAATATCAGGAGTGAGTGGATCATCGACTATTGACGTAAAAATAAATTGGTTGGTAAAAATTGTAAAAGAAGTAAAAGATGAAACGGCATGTAAGAAGGAAATTAAAATGATGGTCAAGGAATTAGTTCGAGAAGAATTGGGAAATGTTAAGCAGGAACTAGAAGAGTTGAGAAGAATGATATAGGGAGGAATATGTGGATCAACAGGAGGAATACAAAGGAGCTACAGTGAAGCGGTTAAAGAGAAAAAGGAAGACAATGTTACAATTATCGGGTTCGATTCCCGATTCAGCCACTTGTACCTCGCATATTTTTTCAGACCCGCAAGCGTTGTTTTCTAACAATTATTTGTCGGGCTGAGGAAGTGTGTAAACGCCCTACACAGACACGACAGTGCCGCTGCCACGGAAGAGATGGATGCTTGGTTCGTGCCTCCTCCCGCCTTAAATCCCCCCTCGCTTCACTCCTAAAGATAAAATCTAAGATTCAACAAAAGAGTGAAGTTATAAAAAAATTGATAAAAGAAAAGGTAGATATCAAAAACATGGCGATGGGAATAACGAAGTTAAAAAAAGGAAGCAAGGGAACAGTGATCATGGGTTGTGAAACTGGAGAAGAAATGAAAAAAGCCACAGTGCAGGACAAACCGGGAGAAAATTTCAAAGTTACGGAATCACCGCAGATGAAGTCCAAAATAAAAATTATCAATGTCAGTAAAGAAGAAATGAGATTGGATGATGATGACTTAATAACTACAATCAAGAAGCAGAATAGAATTGATGCAGTAAACGATGAATTCCAAATGCGAATAGTGAAGAGAATAGTTAAAAAAAAGGAGAAATGATAATAATGAACACAGGAGAAAAGAAAAAGAAGAAGGTTCCATAATAATTAAAGTAGATAAAGAAACGCATGAATTGATGTGGAAAAAAGAAAAACTAAATGTAGGATGGAGAAAATGTCCTATATTGGGCGTATCCCGTTTGGACACGGAACGATTAGACACCGCACGATTGGACACCGCACGATTGGACACCGGTAATTATGCATAAAGAGGGCACAAGCAGAAGCATAAATTTTAGTTTTAAATCAGAAATAGGTATGGGTTAGGTTATATCTTCCGGAACGTACCCCGTAGGGGGGGCGGAACATACTGCCTCCACGCATATACTTTTTAATGCGTAGTAAGGTTCCACATAGGTTTACAACTTTCCACGCGAAGCGAGGTTCAAGGCAAACCTATGTGTCTAGTTTTTTGATAGTGGAGCCCCCCTCCCCACCGAAGGAGAGGCGGAACCCACTGTGTCCAATCAAGAATGTTCAATCGTGCAGTGTCCAATTGTGCAGTGTCCAATAATGCGGTGTCCAATCGTGCAGTGTCCACTCGTGCGGTGGCCAATCGTACAGTGTCCAATGATGCGGTGTCCAATCGTGCAGTGTCCAATCGTACGGTGTCCAATCGTGCAGTGTGCGTGTCCAATCGTGCGGTGTCCAATCGTGCAGTGTCCAATCGTGCGGTGTCCAATCGTGCACTGTCTAATAATTTGGTGACCATTTGTGCAATGTCCAATAATGCGGTGTCCAATCGTGCAGTGTCCAATCGTGCAGTGTCCAATCGTGCAGTGTGGGTGTCCAATTGTGCGGTGTCCAATAATTCTGTGTCCAATCGTGCAGTGTCCAATCGTTCCGTGTCCAATACTACGTGTCCAATCGAGCGGTGTCCAATCGTTCCGTGTCCAAACGAGTGTCACCCCCTATATTCAATCACATTAATGTTAAAAGATGTTTTAAATGCTGGAGATACTATCATATTGCAAAAAATTGCACGCGAGACGAAACATGCCACAAATGTGCAGGAAATCATAAAGCGATTGAATGTATGGCGACAAAGAAAAAATGTGTAAATTGTATGTTTAAAATTCGAATATACAACCTGAAGATAAGTGATGAACACGCCCTTAGCCCGGAATGTCCAACATTTAGAAGGGTGATACAGGAAGAGAAGAGGAGAGCCGGTTGGAAGGATGCTAAATAGCAACTACAGAAGGAAGCGGAAATAATACTGTATACAAATGCGCAAAATTTGATGGCGCATAGAGACGAGATACAGCATCAGATTATAAAGAAAATGAACCCTGCGTTCATAGCGTTATCAGAGAACAGATTGACTGTTGAAATTGAAGACAGTGAAGTGAACGTAACGGGTTATAGTATGATTAGATGTGATGCTGAAAATAGAAATACGGAAGAGGTTGTTTTATATGTAAGGAATGATGTTAAATATGAGATAGTATTAGTACAAAAATTAGAATCGTATTGTTGGACTGCTGCGATTGAGGTGAAAGAAAAATTGTATAAAGGAATAATAATGGTAATATGTCATTCACCGAGTGCATCGCATGGTGATTTCGTGAGATATCTGGAGGATATACAGGGTGCGTACGGTATTTGAGGACAAATCGAGATTAAAACTAATTTGATTATATTTTTTACAAGATTTATTATAATTACATAAAATTTTTATACAATCTTAAGTGACTACTTGACTATAAAATTATTCAATAAAATCTCCATTAGCGGCAATAACTTCCTCAATCCGGGGTCGGAAACGACTGCATGCCCGAATCAAATGCTCCTTATTCATGTTGGCCATGGTGGTAGTTATAGCATCCTTCAGCGAAGAAATGGTGTTATGAGGATGTTTATTAGTCTCACGTTCAACTACGCCCCAAACGTAATAATCCAGGGGATTAAGGTCTGGGGAGCTAGGTGGCCATAAGTTGGGGGTGATGTGGTCATGGAAATTCTCGGCCATCCAATCTTGTGTCGCCATCGCTTTGTGTGAAGGAGCAGAGTCTTGCTGGAATATGTATGGTCTGTTCCCACATACACTATCAATCCAGGGTTTCACAACACTTTCTAAAACCTCGATGTAGGCGGCAGCATTAACCCGAAGCCCCTGGGAAAAGAAGTGAGGTGGCATAACATGACCTTCGTTGCTCACAACTCCTAAAACCATAACAGTAGCTGGAAATTTCGTGTGCATAACACGGGGAACCTCTGTAGGTTCTGAACATAGCCATCTATCATTTCTCCGATTGATTTTTTGGTCTTGATCGAAATTTTTTTCATCAAAACAAAACCATAACATGTTGGGAGCTTCTGGGTGCTTAAGCTTGTTCAAAAGACGTTTTCCTCGGATAGTTCTCTGCTCACGAGTTTGTGCCGACATAAATTGTCCTCTGCGCATAACGTAGGACTTGTAGCGTAGGTCTTCGTGAACGACTCGACGAACTAGGCCCTCAGAGACTTTAAGGTCTCTCGCGAGGGCTCTTATTGACTTTGAAGGATTTTCGTCAACGATCGCTTGTATTTGTTGAATAAATTGTGTAGTTCTAATAGTGTCTGAACGTTCCTCATGCTTTTTGCGTTTTGCAACAGATTGTGTTTCGCCATCTGATGCTTCCAATTCACGGCGAACCTTATGTACGAATGATCGGGCGCAATTGAGAAAATTGGAAATTTCTAAATCTGTGTGTTTCGCACATATAGCGACGATAACAGCATGTCTCTTTATTTCTTGTGTTAGATTATAGTCCTCCATCAATGATCTTAAAAGAAAAAAAAATGAAAATAATTACCTTGAGAAATTACAGTCACATATATGGATGTCCTCAAATACCGTACGCACCCTGTAGTAGAGGAATAATTCGAGGAGAATGTATGGTAATAGGAGACTTTAATATAGATATTATGTTAAATTCGTTTTATACAAGGAAACTACAAACGACAATGTTGAGCTTAGGCATGAAACAATAAACCGACGAGAATTACAAAAGATAGTAAGATAATTATTGATTTAATTTTTGCTAATAATAAAATAGAAGTGCAGATGATGCATGAATCTAAAATAACGGACCATGCGTGGCTAAAAGTTGAACTGAATGCGAGTAAAATTGATAATAAATGCAGAGAACTTTGTGTTAGAAATTATACAGAGTTTAATGTAGATGAATTTATTAAATTAGTGAAAAATAAATTAGAGAAAAATCAAGATATGGATGTCAATGTGAGAGCGAAGAAATTTGTTAACAGTATAGTAGATGCGTTGGACGCTACAGCAACTAGGAAAAATTTTAGAATTTCGAAAATATGGGAAGGAAAAAAGTGGTTTTCGGATGAAATAAGAGAAGAAATGGTTAAAAGTGATGAGGCATATAGAAAGGCATTGTATGCTGACATGGAACAAAATTGGTTGCAATTTAAAATTGAAAAAAATGCAGTAGTTAAATTAATTAGCACAAAGAAGAAACAGTATTATGAAAATATGATAAATTTTAATAAAGAAAATCCTACATCTATGCAAAACACTAGAAGAAATAATTAGAGGCGAACCAGGAGGTAAGAAGGAATTAGAAGATATATAGATTTTGAAATATTAGACAGCATTGAAGGATGCAATATAGCGGATAAAGGAGGAGGGCCAATAAAGCTTGATTTTTGGGCCAGAGCGTCGCACTTTTTTGATTACATATTTGTATAGTTGAGGTCAAGAGCTTTCCAAAACACCCTATGAAAAGCTTTTTACGTTGGGGAAAGTGAAAGTTATAAATCCTCAAAGTTTAAGAAACATAGGCATGTAGGAAGAATGAGAATTATCAAGACTATCTGATTTATGATTTTTTGTGCTAAGTAGACTGCCTTAGTTGTATGTGTGTGTGTGACAGATTGAAAATATATACATGTATTTGTTATTTTATCCTCCTCTTTTTAAATATGGGCTTGGAACCATCAACGGCGAAGTTACTTTTTTTTGGTTTTGTAAAATGATTTTTTTTGTTTTTTTTTTGTTTTTTATTTATTTTGTTTTTTATTTATTTTGTTTTTTATTTATTTTTGTTTTTTTATTTTGTTTTTTTTTGTCATAAATGTATTTTTTGCACATTTTTAAGATGCACTTTATAAGAAGGGCATAATAATTGCTTTGGCATTTTTAAATAACTTTCACACAGCAAACATCAATAGAGTAGAATGAAAGACAATCGCTTGTATCAACTGTCAATTGTTTGATGAGGATTATCATCAACTGAGACTTTGAGGACTTATAACTTTCACTTTCCCCAACGTAAAAAGCTTTTCATAGGGTGTTTTGGAAAGTTCTCGACCTCAATTATACAAATATGCAATCAAAAAAATGCGACGATCTGGCCCAAAAATCAAGCCTTATTGGCCCTCCTCCTTTAATTTATACTATATGTATACAAAGTATTAATAGTATAGTAAAATCTATAAATGGAAGTAAGACTGGAAGTGCGTGTAAAAGAATTTTGAGGTGATTAGGATAGAGCATTTACAGGAAATTGTTATAGGACTACCGAAAAAAAAAGATACAGAGGAGGGAATAACTAGCGATATATTAAAGGCAGTGTTTTGCGTAATAAAAGAGGAATTTGTTGATATAATAAATAATTCTTTGAAAGAAGGTTGCTGTCCAGAAGGCTAGAAAACATCTACGTTAATACCGATTCCAAAAATAGAGAAAGCTAGAAAAGCAAGTGAATTTAGGCCTATTAATATGTTACCAATATTTGAAAAAGTGTTAGAATTAATAGTTAAAAAGCAAATTGAAACGTATTTAGAAGATAATTGTATTATAACAGAGTATCAGTCGGTCTTTAGAAAACAATATTCGTGTGAAACAGCGATTTAAACAATCATTAATGAATATGGTTAAGATCATATTTAAATAATAGAACACAGCAGGTTCAATTTAATAATAAATGTTTTAAATTAATGACCACAGAATATGGAGTACCACAGGGATCTGTATTAGGACCTTTGTTATTTATAATATATATAAATGATATAATCAAAATTTGTTCACAGAAGAATGTAGTATAAAAATGTTTGCAGATGATATATTAATATATGTAACTGAGAAAGCAGCGTGTAATTAGAGAGCAAAATAAATATGGCATTTATTATAATAAAAGAGTGGATGAATATAAATAAGTTAAAAATGAATGCAGGGAAAACGAAATATACGATAGTCAGAAGTATAAGAAAAGAACCGCGAGGTAATATTACATTGAAATATTTGGATGGAACTGAGATAGAACGTGTGGAAATAATGAAATACTTAGGCATAATTATTGACGATAGACTACGATTTAAGGGCCACTGTGATTATATGCTAAAGAAAATAGGGAAAAACGAGTTTTTTAAATAGAATAGGTAATTACATTTCGGCATACACTAGATGTATTGTATATAAGACAATCATAGTGCCTTACTTTGAGTATTGTGCGAAGCTATTAATTGATATGAGAGAAACACAGCTGAGTAAATTGCAAAAAGCATAAAACCGGGCCATGAGGATCATATTGTAATGTGATAGACATACCAAAGTGGAGTGTATGCTGCAAGCGCTGCAGTTTATGCCCATAAGACAGAGGTTATACCATAATGTGTATATTTATTTTAAGATTTTAAGGAACATGTTACCGGAACAATTAAGAAATAGATTAGAAATAATGGAAAATGAGAGTAAAAGACAAACACGACAAGCTGGGGATATTGCAATAAAATATCGCAGAACAAAGAGTGCACAAAAGAGTATGTTTTACGAAAGAGTGAAAATGTATAACGCGTTGCCAGCTGAAATAAAGCGGAATGAAAGAATTATGCCGTTTAAGCGAATGTTAAAGAAGTATATTGTAATTAATGTAAACTAGATTTGTATTACAAATAGCTGAGAAAACTAATAAAGATCAATCAATTAATCAATCAATCTCGCTCTCTCTCTCTCTCTCTCACCCCCTCTCTTTTTCCCTTTCACCCTCCCCCTCGCTCCCCGTCGCTCCCCCTCACTCTTTCTCTCTCCCCCTTCCCGCTCTCTCTCCCTCTCTCTCTCCTAATTATTATAAATTTATAAAAATATAATTTTATAAAAGAGTATTCACAAAAAAAATAATCGTACATGAGCGGTGTGAATGCCCCTTGAGGGACAAAAGCGCTTTGCGTGTGTGCGTGCGAGCATACGTATGTGAGTCTGAACCTTATTCCGGAGAAGAATGAAAATGTCACAATTCTGATATACGATTATCATTTCTCAGGATTGGCTGCATCAATCTTATTCGAACTGGCCGCAATCGAAAGCTTGTGTCTATGTTATATAATAAAAGTGCCGTTACATTTTTTATTACAGTTCCTGCTTTAGTTCCTGAGGTATTTTAATCGAAAGTTTACTTGACGTAAAATTCCGGATAAGCTATATAGAGGTAGCGCCTCGGCATAATGCAGTAACTCTCAATGGTCGGATCCAATTTTTTTATGTACGTGGATCCAGTTTTTTTATGTACGCTATCGCGTCGCTTGATCAAGGAAGAAACAAAGATAGAGCAAATAAGCATAGAATAGAAGCAGGAAAGAGAGCTACAATAGAAAGAGAAATAAAAGAATAACAGAAAACGAGATACTGAAAGAATGTAAAAGAGAAATGAACAAGATGGAATAGGAGAAATCATACTAGGGCAAAACGATGCAGAAATTATATGAAGAAAAAGGAATAACTCATAATGGGAAATAGAAGCAAGTGATAACAAAGGGAAAAATACAATAGAAGAATGGACCCAAAAAAGCAAAAACAAAACTAAAAGAAAAAAAAACAAAGTAAAGGAGTCAGTTTCAGCGAAAGAGTATAACAGTTAGAAAACGGTAGAAAGGGCGAAATATAGTTAGGACAGAAGGGAAAAGGAATGAGATTGAAAACAATACCCATATTGAGATATTATAATGAATGGACAGGAAGTAGAATATTGGGAAAGAAACAGCAAGAAGGTATGTAAACTCTGTGAAGAGATAGAAGAGAATCGTGGTAGCACATATGTAATAAACCGCTTTCGCAAGGCGGTGACGGATAACTCGGTCGGGATCCGGGGCTCGTGAAAGAGGGTATCGAGATACAAACGAAAGTAGTGTTTAATAAAATATAATTTATTGCGTATAAATGTGTTTGTACAGTGTGCGTGTATGCGTATAAACGAAGTGTGCGAGTGGGCGGGTGTATATGTGTGCGTGTGAGACATTTGACGAGTGAGTGAGCGCGCAAATGTATAACAATAATTAATTGGGCGCACACTGAAAGAAAAATGTATTCAATCCAAAAAAAAAAAACTTGTTATGAGTAAATGATTTGGTTAAATAGTACCAATGGACAATTAATTTGAATCAAATTAAAATATTGTTCAGAATGAGATACTGTCTGCTGAAAAGTATTGAATTATTTATTATATTCGAGATACACGAAGTGAAATGTAGAAATTATTTATTTATATAACTATTTCATTTACTATTTTTTAATGTTGTGCTACTAAAATTGAGTAACTATTTACCAGATTTAAATAAACAATTGTTCAATTTAAATAGTTTACAAATTAAATCTTAATGAACACTTATCGTAATAACAAAATATTAACTTAAATTCAATTAATCGTTTCATGAAAAACGCTTTCATAGATTTCAAATGAATTAAATATTTATTTATTGTTAGAATTTAGCATTTGAAATTAAAAATCATTATCTCCTTTTAAATAAATTTTTGTTTCATTAGACATAAAAATAAGATGGTTCCCTATAAATATTTTATAAACTTATTAAATATTTATTGAAATGTAAAACATCATTTATCTAAAATAATTAAAATTGGTTTAAAATTGATTTTATATTAATTTCATCTTATATATTAAATATTAAATTGAGTGAAATGTTGTTACGGCATGCAGGCAGGTGATACACTCGCCGTCGTCAAGACGAGTGCTGTGCAACAGTCCCCCAAAATGTTGCGATCCATACAGAACTTTCAGTGTACCGTAATTAATACATGTGCATCAATTATATATATTAATAAACGAAACTTTATATAATAATCATTCATTTCAATCGTCTTATAAATCTTTTTTTGACCCTTATTAGAATTGTTCGAATTGAAATTAGAAATAGTTGAAGTATCATCAGAAAATTCAGAAGCGTCTGTATCAAAAACAATATCACTTATTTGCTTTGAAGTTATACTTGAAGCTAATTTTGTTTCTGATATATGTTTATTGAGAACGTGTCTCCGTAAAGAATAAACATTAGTAAACTGATCATCACAATTGTCAAACTTACATGTAATAGTGGAATTTAACATAAACTTATGTTTTAACCTTATATGTTGCATGACAAGGTCCATGGTTATAAATATTTTTTCGCAAAAAAAACAATTCATTTTGAAAGAAAAAATAAAAATCTGATTTTAAAACACTCAGAAATTAAATATTAAATGTAATTTAAAGGAATTGGAAATTAAAGGAATTTTATGTAATTAAAACAAAAGATTCAACATTAATCTGATAATTCGTAGGCATCAGAAGTATCTATGTCCTTTTCATCGAGCTTAAGACTTACTTTGTTCAACACATTTTGTATATGAGGTATTTCTGCATCATATATAGTATCGAACATATAAATACCTTTTTGAATTAATAACCATAAGTGCTCGCAAGCTGATGGATATTTTACATGAAAAACTTGAAATGCTTTAAAGCAGACATCAATAGCTTCTAAAGCACTATTTGTTTTATACAAAATGTCATCGACACAAACGTATATTTCATGCAGATCCTCTCCATCGACATAAATGATATACGGCTGAAGCGTAATTTTTAACATTTGGGCTTGTTGCTTTGCTTCATGTCTTATTAAAGTAACATCTCCAGCAATCTGAAAGAAAAATAAGAAATAATTAAAATGACAATGTAGTAGATATATTGTTTATCAAATTTTCAATGGGCCTTGTTTTGCGCATTTTAATAGAACATTATAATAAGCATTTTCTATCTCTTTTCGTTTTCTTTCTCTTTACATATCCTTGCGTAATCAAACGCGGCCTCTTCTAATCTTTCTCTCTATCTCTCTACATATGCAGTGTCTATCGACCGATTTCGGTATTTAAAGTAAAAAAAATAAATATAATTAAAATGTGCAAAATTCGGCGTATTACAAACTTACTAATATGATAAAGAAATAAAGAAAATGAAGAAAATCCACAGCCAAATATAATTTAAACAGAGTAGACCATAAAAAAATTTAATTTTCTTAAATACATACTTTCACAATTCTTATCATGCATTTTTCGGCAGCATAAAGAGAAGCTCTTTTATAAACTCCATCTATTTTTTTCATTGTTTTCGGAGGTATTAGATGAGGTAAAAGTTTAAACATCGTTAATATTTTTTTGTCTAAAACATATAATAGATTTTTTTTTTCATCTGATATGTTGATATTTGTAATAACGTATAAATAATAATAAAAAAATAAATACCATTATTCAAGTCCTCTTCTTTTATTTTATTGAGCATTTGATATCCATCGTCATCCTTAGGATTAATCGAAAAATTTTGAAGAATGATATTGAAAAAACGTTTAAAATTTGATTCGCTTAAAGCAACGTTTGAGAGAGACATTTTGCTGAAATCTTGGATTATGAGGTTATAACCTTGTGGATGTTTGTAATGTGTCCATTTAGAAAAAATATTAGACAAATCTTTATCTTGATTATTGTACAGATCTTTTTTTCTTAAATCATATGTTGTAGACCAATGTAATAGAACCTCTGTCCAAGGAGCCTCATTAGTCTCTAACCATTTCATACTTGCAACAACTTTTTCATCAACTTTTTCTATAAAAAATAAAAAATTTTGCAACAGCTGAATTTAAATATTATACATATAACTGAATAAATATAATGCTACCATCTGGAACATCGTTCGCAACCTCTCCTATTGTTTTTTCAATTTCGCCATAAAATTTTTTATTCCTGCTTCTCTTATTTCTCCACATTGATACCAATTTGCCTTTAGATGCTTTAGATTTGTTATCTATTGCATTTTTCTTTTTTATTGGAGAAATATAATAAGTTTTTACAACTTCAGTTGGAAAAGTCTCACAAATTTTTTCAGCGACATATTTTGCTATATCATTTGGCAACCTGTGAAAGTATGTACTACGATAACTATGATCACTATGATATTCAATATTAAATAAATAAAATGAATTGTACAAACTTACTCTGAAAATCTTTCATCAATATAAGTAAGTACTATATCGCAAATTTTATTTCTTTGAGCTTCAGTGAAGTTTTTTTGTTTTTCATAAGCTGTAATTATCATCGTCAGTTAATATCGACTGATATCGAAATTTTGAGACACTTATTTTGAAAAAATATTTAACATTAAATTAAAATGTAAATCAAATAATATTTATTAAAGTTCTTACAAAGATTCTTTAATTTCAAACAAATACATTTTGTATTTGAGTCAAATAATCTTTACAAAATAGTACATTATTATTAAGTAAATTAAAAAATTGGTTTGAAAAAATATTTATTTAAGTCTATTTCTTTAATTTAATTATATCAGATTTTTCAATTTTAGAGAATAAATTATTCAATTTGAATAAAGATTATCTTAATCAAAGTTATTTATTATTTGTTTTAAAATTATTTCACATTGAATTAAACCTTTCTCTAACTTGTCTACATATATATTTAAAGTAAGTCATTGTTTATTACAATCTGATAAACGACCTCTTAATGTGACTATATCATATTTGAATTAATATATTTATTTGAATTGAGTAAATTTTATTTTCAGTGCAGAGTGTCGAATGCAAGCTCGTTATGTATGAGCGAATGATACAAGCGTGTGAGTGCGTGTCGGTGTATCGCGGTGTGTGTGAAGCGGTCGCCGGTACGGCGATACGGCGGTGTGCGATGTATAAATGATTATAATCGGTTGAATATAGATATAATGTAAATGCGTGTACAATGCTGAACGGATCGTGGTGCGGTCGTATCGGGTGCGGTGCATTCAATGTAACGCACGGATGCGTTGCGCGGTTCGCGAGTTCGGCGGATCGATAGAATATCGATCACGGATCGCGGACAGCGATTTCGGCAGAGGCCGTTAGCTATCGGGCGGTAATTTCGGTCGGCCCGGTGGGCAGTCCTTCGACGCGTCGGTATTGATCGCGTATGTCGATCGGTGTCGCGGTAGGGATGTGGATCATTCCGCGGCGCGGGACTTAGCGCACCGTATCAATGGCGAGTCCGGATGTCGTAATGGCGGTCGGGCCGTATTAGCTAAGCGCGTCTAGTGCGTTCGATAGTAATTCGGGATGGTCTTCCCCCGTGTAATTCACAGGAGTGCAACGGCTGACGAGAACACCCGTCGATGGCAGGGAACTCCCCATCACTAGACGATCGCCGTTGCACGCAGGTGGTCGGATTTACGCGAGGTGTCGAGCACTCTCGACGGGGACGAGTACGCCCGTTCCCGTTTCCCTCGTTGTAATCGGTTTCGGAAGGATCGCTCTCGGAGATGCCGCAAACTCTCGGCTGAGGCTGAGTACACCCAACCTCGTTTTCTCTCTCTTTGTGCGGTTAAGGATCTAGGCGGTTTCTAGGCGTCTTACAGACTCTGGCGGTGCGGAAGATCTGGTCTCGATATTCAGAAACGCGCTCTATTTATACCGGTTTTCGGCGCGCGCGTCTGCGTAATTCGCCTATTCGGTTCTCGATGTTTTCGCGCGCCTAACGGCGGTTAGATGTTTACGCGTTTCTGATATTATTTAAAAATGGGCGCTCAGCGCCTCCGCATTTGCCCGACCGGTGTTCGTCGGGCGGCGGACTTCCGGCGGATCGGCGGCCGGGTACGGTTTGGTAACGATGGGGGGAATGCATCGTTACACATATTAAAAGAGTGCACGCGAAAATTTAAAAAATACATAAACCGAAGAAACAATAACGTCAGAAAAGAGAGAGAAAATAGAATAAATCTTAAAAATAAATAGTATGAGAAGAGAGAGAGAGAGAGAGAAACACAGGAAGAATTAAGGAAAGGATAAGCGGGTGGAAAAAGGGAAAATCATAATAAGATATATAAATAGATAAAAAATAAGTTTGTCATAATCATAATATGTGTAAATAAACTGTGTAGATAAAGCAGCAAAACCATGTATCTCGAGAAAGGAATCATTATCTTTAATAAAGTAAAATAAATAAATGAATACTGTTATGCTTTGGGTGAGGCACGGGGATTTCGAGATCGTTCGCCGGATTTGAATTTGAAAATTCTGGCTCCATCCAAGGAATCTCACCTGGGTTTTGCAGTTATTCGTAGTCACTTGTAGATTTTGATAAAATATATTTGTTCAATGAAATGCTCTAATACAGTGTCTTATTTTTCGCATTTTTTTAGCTCGTGTCGCTTATCGCGGTTTCGGGTGACTTCGCGTGTGCGTGCTTGGAGTCAAGTTTACGTCGCGAGACTCGCTTTTACGATCTTCCATAACTCCGTTATACTATTATGCACTTTGTTAATTTTGACTGCCCGTGCCGTGCTGTCTTGTATCAATTAATAATTGCGGCTGTCTGCTGCTCGTTAGCAGTGGATGATTTTACTGTTTCCCCTTCGATTAATTTTCCGGAGGGGATTGCTTAGCAACATGACCATATATGATCGCGTCGCTCGGACGGCAGGGCTAAGGTGCAAGCGAAGAAAGTTCGAAGGCAAATTTTTTTGCTTGTATTTTCGCAATTTCTTCCTTCGAACCTTTGCAATCGCTTAGTCTTCGTGCATGGCTCACTGCGTCAGCGTTTCGCGCAGGCAACATTCGTAACGCTATGCGCCTTCCTCGGTTTCGATTTATAATTGGAAGGCGTGTTTTAATAAATAAGATTAATTAATAACGATTTAAAATAACAAAATATTGTAATAACTTGTATATAGCCTTTTGGACTATAACAATACTGTTAAATTGTTTTGTATATTTGTGTCATATAAGATGTTATTCGATGTGTTCGACACGTTTTACGTGACAACTTAGGCAATTTGATGCGCATAGGATTTTAATAACAATATCTCATAAGATTTATATGCTGCAACTTACAATATTTAAAGGATGAATTATAATTAATTTTAAGATAAATTTAAAAAATATAATTTCAATAACATTGCATATAAAATTATTATATCAATATCGATAATAAAATTGATATCTGATAGTACCTCTATTATGTGTAACGTACCATACCTGAGTGTGCAAGCTTTGAACAATTTGTGATTTTGTGTGCATGCGCGTTAGAGTTCGTGTGCGTGCGCGTGCGGTGTGCGTGCACGTATGCGTGTGTGTGTGTGTGTGTGTATGTGTGTGTTGTACAATAGAGACAAGGACTACACCTTCGACACTCCCATGATATAGTTAATATCTTCATGTATGTATGTACATGTGTGTATGTTTGTTTTTTTTATAACAGATTCTCAAAATGTCTACTCTGTATTGCCTAATAGTAAATCACTTTAAAACATATTGGAGACTGTTTCTGCAGTGCTTACGAGAAATAAAGTTCATCTCATCAGTTATTTGATAACACAAGTCTTCGAGATTTCGGGGTTTTGTCTTGTAAACTGTTTTTTTATGACTTCACAAAATGAAATTTAACGGAAAGAAATCAGGTGATCGAGAAGGCCATTCAATTTTAACTTTTTTCCAATTCTTTTTTGGTCTCATATTAATCAGCTGTCAGATTCAATGAAGAAAAACCCAATCATGGTATCGTAAACAATACCTGTACGTTGACTTTCTGAAGATATTGCCTATACGCTTCAATCATCTAATGTGGGTTTTCGTTCCAGTATCGTTACAGATAGATAAAATTCTTTATTGATTCCCCAAAGGGGTTACAATTTTCCATACAATCTTCTACATACTCTACAATCTCTTCATTTTTCTCCTCGACTCCATTCCTCCCTTCTACCCCGCTTAATTTTACTCTCCTCTTTTCTCCCACCATACCTTCCTCTCCACTCTTTCTCCTTTATCCTCCATTTCTACAATCAAAACCTTTCTCCCTTCCTCTCCTACTCTCTCCTCCACCCGCCTTATCTTGGCCCTTCTTCCTAGTATCTCCTCCATCATGCCCTCGACTTCCTTCCTTCCCTCCTCCGGCTCTTCTCCTTTTACTCCTCTCCATACCATATTTCTTCTCCTTCTCCTTCTTCTCTCTCGCTCTTCACTCTCCCTTCTCTCTGTACCTTCCTGCCTTTCTTTCTCCAGACCTTTGTTGACTCCCTTAGCTCTTCCTCTCCTCTCATCTTCTTCTTCCTTATCCATCCCTCTCCTTGTCTCCCTTTCTTCTCTTCTTTCCTTTTTTATGTCCCTCTCTTCCCTCCTGGTCCCCATCTCATCCTTCCTCCTTCTTTCCTTCTTCACCTTACTCCACTCTTCCACCCCTACTTTCTCTTTTTCCTCTCTTCCTCCCGCTTCCTCTCGTATCTAGCTTACTTCTTTCCCTTCTCTCCTCAGTTCCCCTTTGTCTCTCGTCCTCTTTCCTCCTTTCCCCTTCTCCTTTCTCTCGTCCATGTTTCTCCTCTTTTTCTTTCTCTCTTCTCTATCCGTCTCGCTATCTTCCTCCGTGTCCCATCAGGCTTTTACTTCCTCCCTCCTGTCTTCTCCTTATCTCCTTTTCCTTTCCTCTCCTGTCTCTCTTCTTCCTCTTTTCTCTTTTCTCCTTTCTCTGCTTTTCTCCTTTATTTCCTCTCTCCTCTCTTCCTTTTCCTCCTCGCTTTCCTCCTTTGTCGCCTCCCTTACTCCTTCTACCTCTTCTCTCTTTCCTTTGTTCGGTCCCCTATTCTCCTTTCTCTCCTCTTCCTGCTCTTCTTCGCTCTCCTCCTCTGTCGTCGCTGTTGACCTTTTACCCTCTTCTTTCCTTCCTCTCTCTCTCTTTTCTCTCCATAGTCTTAATTCATTTCTTATTCCCCTTACTTCCTCCACCAGCTCCTTCATCCACTTCTCCATGTTCTCCGTCTTCTTCTTCCTTCAGTCTCTCCTCTCCTTTCGTTTCCTTCTCCTCTTCTCACTTTTTTCACACTCTTACTTCTTCCGCCTCTCTGCACTTTAACTTATTAAGCTTTACTGTCCGCTGCCTCTCCCTAACCTAGCTTTCGTCGTACTATTCTTTAATTCGCCTGACCTTTCTTTCTCCGTTCTTCTCTTCCCCCTTTGACTCCCATTTCCGTGTTCAACCGCCATGTGCTTGTTTCACTTCCTTTCATC